GTGCAAGTATTTTTTAAACTGGGAAAGTTACCACGTCTGAATTATTTGAAAGGAAGTCTAAAGCAGCTGCTGTACTTTTATTAGAAGGAACTGTCCAATTCCTGCACCTCGACTGATCCATTTGCTCTGCGAGTAAGAGCTGCTGGGACAGAGAGGAGAGTTTTTGATCTGTCACTGTCCTTGTTCTGCTCTGTGTGCGAGCAGAAGAGCTCACATTGTTTGCTGAGACTTTGGAAAAAAATTAGTTGGAGCTGGCAAACAGTGCTAGTTATCAGTATGAATGTCTCAGCTACAGACAGCTGTGGAGTTTGTGACTTTTGTTACAATACTATTTTATTAACATTTAAGATGCTAGACTATTTTAGAAACATTAAGTACTTGTCTGCTAAAACAGGAACGTTCAGAATATTAGATAATGGAATGTTACATAATTTGTAAATTAATTTGCCTGAAGAATAGTTTAGTGCTTCAATGTGTCTATAAAGCACTTGCCAGTGAGGAGGAGTGGTGGTGGTCTGTTCCAGAGATGACACTGTTTCCAGCTGTTTGAACATGTAAAGCAGTGCTTAGTGCAGTCTTGGCAAGGTCTCACTCAAAATTCATTGTACAAAAAAGACAATAATCATGGCTGTAATTTCTGTTAGGCTCTTCCGAAATATAAATTGTCAAACTGTCTTTTGACAAGTACAGGTTTCGTTCCCTCTACCCCAAGTAATTTGGAGCCATCAACCCAGCAAATTAATCTTGTCTAGTTCTGTCTTCTGAAGAAATGCAGTAACAAATTAGATTGCTTCAACACACCAGCACTATTTTAAATTTATTCACCAGTTCATATTAGGAGGTGGATTTCATACTGTATTCACAGGAGTGGCTTTGGTTCATTAGGATTTGCACAGCAGCACAGGTATGCAAAGTTCCTTGCAGATGAGAAAAAGCATGTTGCTTACTTATATCTAACACAACTGAGCTTCACTGAATGCAGTAACTTTGCTTTTAAGCTCACGTTTAGGTCAGTGTGGAGACTCCAGTAAAATTACTTCTTTTTTTCTTTTTTTTTTTTGCCAGACTCCTGATTCTGACACTTTATGGTTATGGCCTTGCTCAAGCCCATAACGTTATGTGTCTTTGGAAAATTTACAGGGATGGATTTCCATAAAAAGATAATTCATTTTAATTACCCCATTCTCCAAAGTTGGATACCTGTCTTAAAAGTAAAAACAAACAAACAAACACAACCAACCAACCAAAAAAACCACACTAAAATGTTAGTATCTCTTCTGAGGTACTAAATGATTTTTAGGGTTCAGTTCTGGTCTGAAAACAACATAGGGGTATGGTTTAAATAGCAGGAATCGTTCATCTAGAAGGAAGTTAGTGATTTTTATTGTTTTAAGTACAAATGTATTTCAGCCCAAACAACAGCACTGCATTTGTAATTAATCAATGCCTAAACCCAAGAGTGTTGCCAGTCTGGAAATGGCAGCCTGGTGAGGCAGCACATGAGACCAGGAACAGAGCTCTTCCCTGTAGGACACTGGGAAACCTCCAGCAGCAGCTTAGTCCAGTTCTGGGGAGAGACAGGGAGCAGAAGGGCACTGATTCCTCAGAGACAAGTCAGTCCAAGGAGAAAGGTGGAGGGTTCAGAGACTCCATGTCCCCCTCAGTGCTGCTCCTGACAGCTCCTGTGGCTGCCTCCCAGCTCCCACGTCAGACAGGATTCAGAGGAGCATTTTCACAAAAACCCTGTTTCACCATCACCGGGGTGATAAATCTGGGGCCTGGCTCAGCTCCAGATTTCTCTGTGGGTCCCCAGGGAGTGAAACAGCAGCGGTATCACGGGCTCACTGTGAAGCCTGAGGCTCGCACATGGAGAAGGCACCATCAGCCAAGCACATTTTAGTGCACAAATAGGGTTTTTTCTGGGCTAAGCTGTCATCCCTCTTAATGATTCCTTGCACAGAAGTTGTTTGTACTCTTAATTGCCTTTGCTACCTTTCTTTACCATTTCTAACTCAGTTCATCCTTTCTGAAGCAAGTGGCCAGATGGTCAGAGCTTATGTTATTCTAAGGACATAATAGGGGTACATCAGAAAAATTAGTACCTGTGTTCTAGCAATGGGCAACAGCAAATCAGCTGTAATTGGTACAAAGGCTGCTACTGTAGGCTCTCTTTGTCGTGGCAATGTGCTTTGTCATCACTCCTGTCTCCCAGGTTGAGGAAGGCTGAGTTTAGGACTGGCCAGAGCAAAGCGTGGGTTTAGCTCCCCATGTTGCCCATGTGGGAGGTGCATCAGCAGATCCAGAGCAGCTTCTTCATGAGCTGGAGACTGGAGGCTGTAAGATCTACAGGTCAGAAGCTTTGGAGGCTTTGTATCTTCTAAGCAGAAACTGTCCATCTCAATTCAAATCAGCCTAACTGCTGAGTTCAGTGAGTTTGCACAAACCAGCCCCACCTGACAGCTGGGTCAAAGGTATGAGGAAAAATTTATCTTCAGGCTTTTATATTCCTGTGAGTGTTATATCAAAGTGCCTTTGTTAGTGACAAGTAAGTATCCTTCATTAAAAAAGAGCTTTGCATGACAATTATGTAGTAGTTTTTGTTTGCTTTCCTAATTGGAGAACATTTTGAAAGAGCAATAAAACACAATTTGTTCCCTCTTTCCAAAGCAAAACATCTCCTTTTGGAAGGAAGGAGGGAGTAAATTTACATTATAATGAGCAAATTGTTATGAGCCTGTAGATCAGGGTTGACATAAAGGGTGACGGAAATGAGATGTTCTCATTTTGTGCATTCCCCTCCCCTTTTGCTTGCATTTGCCTGTGGATCCTGCTGCTACTGAGCAAGGAAGTAGCTGTACTCGTGGTCAATGGTAGCAACAAATCACAACTGAGGGAACAAAAACTCACATGAAAAAAGTCATTCTCCACCAGGGCTGCCTTGTGCATCTCAATCCTTTCCCCAGCGAGTACTCGCGTTGGAGGTAGGTGCAGGTTACTACTGCACCTTCTAGCCAGTTGTTTTTTACTGTCTCTGTTTTCCCACTGGTTTTGTCCATTCCCAGTACTGTCAGAATATTGGTGGGATGAGAGTGCTATTGTTTGGCTTCAGGCATATGACTTATCTAGAAAGAATTCAGAAAAATGCAGAGTTGGGGGCTGCTCCTGCCCTGCTGCCAACCCGGGGGGTGACTGAGAAGCCTAAGCCGTTGTCTTAGTTGTCACTCTGTCCTGCCCTTACTGTCTGGAAGGGAAGTGCAGCTGCCCAAATCTTTTCTCCTTCCTGTCCCTCTCTTTTTGTGACAAGTGGGTTCGTAACTTGTTTGAGCAGCTGAGAGTGACATTAACCCCCTGCCCAGCTGTTGCGGTGTCAGGGCTCCAGGCGAAATGGCATTTGTTTGGCTCCTAGAGAAGTCATCCAGCGATTGCCTGGAGAGTCTGGCTCCAAGTGCAATCCATATGCAATGCTTCTGTCAGCAAAGACTTGCTGGAGGAGAGTTTATAATAAATATTCACATCTGCTGCTTTGGACACTCTAATCCATCCTACAGATCTTTGCTGTGTCAGGCTTTGTTCTAGCTGAAGAAGTCGGGTAGTTACAAAGGTTTGCAAATAGGGCATATTTATCATGGTTAGCTCTACTTCCTAGTTCCCGTTCTTGCACACATATCCATGACCACACCAAGCATAACTTGTGGTTAAATAATCTCGGTGCATTTTTAAGGTGTTTTAGGCTAAGTGTTTCCTTTGATAAATGGAGAATTGAAGCCATCAGATCTTCATAGGCAGAGCAGAGAACATCATTGTTATGACTTAGTTTGAATGGAGGGACAGGATATTCCCTGGATAAACTGTTCATCACACAGGCACACGCAAGGCCCTATGGTTCCCATATTGTTAAAACTGGGAGAGATTCCTCCATACTCACTTCTCTTGGGCAGTATGTTCCCATTGGCCACTTGGTGAATAACCTGAATGACTGAAAATAGCAAAATATCTCCTGTTTTTCATAATCATCCCCAAAATGATGACCTTGGTGCCAGACTGACTTTGTCAGTGTCCGTATTAATTATTCTTCTGCTGGTGCTGTCTGCTTTCAGAGAGCAAATCTTGATACATAAAAAGCTGTAATCATTTGGAGGGTATATTGAACTTGCTCCTAATAGAAAAAGGTGTTTGACCAAGATCATGGCTGGCAGTAGAGTGATCCTGTTGTTAGTAGGGCCACATCAGCTTAAAAGGGAGATCAATACACTCATTTTATTTTTTTTTTTTTGGTACGTGAAACTCATGATTATTATAGTTCATTTTTAAAGGAGAGAATCTTTATCTGGGGGCTAGGTAAGTAAGAGGTGCTTCAAATATATCACCAGCTGTTACCTCTGCTTTTATTTAAGGATGAAGATAATAAACTTATAAACAAATTCTGCTTTTTTAAGAGTGATGAAAACTGAGTTTGGTTCGTAAATAAACACATGGAAACTGGGAACTCCTTAGAACCTTTTTTAGGTTTTCTTTTATTTTTTTCCTATGGTTAGACCCAATTTGATACTAACAATGTAATTATCGTTGGGTTTTTCCATAAGGATATAAGGGAGCAAGACCCTTAGTTCAGCTAGAGCCTGACCTGGAAATTCAGCTGAAAACTCGCATCTTCATGTCTAACAGTGGTACAAGAAAAGCAGCATTAAAAGCATGTCTGATGTTGATACCTCCAGGTATCAGAAGAGCATCTATTTCTCTGGTGCTCAGTCTGTGTGTCAGAATCTGGGCTTGAATAACTGTGTCCAAATATAAGTAAAACAGCCGTGCTCCTAATGAGGAGAACACCGGGGTCTCCAGATTCGCTTCATCGCTGCAAAATCCAATCTCACTGCTATTGATCCGTCCAACAGGAGTACGCGTTGGGGGGGGGGGTGTCTTTAAAACCACGACCTCAGAACTTGAGCGCCGCTCTCCTGCGCGGCCTTTGCCAACCTCGATGCCTTTGCTCTGCCTTGCAGGTGGCGTGGTGGCCCTGGGCAGCAGCGACGGCTCGGTGCGGGTGCTGCGGCGGGACGCGGGGCAGCTCTCGGCGCTGCGGGGCCCGGGCGGCGCCGTGCGCTGCCTGCGCTTCCACGGCCCGCGGCTCCTGCTGTCCGCGGGCGCCGACGGCAGGCTCTGCCTCTGGACGTGAGCGCCTCCCTCGCTCGGCGCTGCGGGAGAAGGCCGGGGCAGCACCGCGCTGCGGGCTCGCAGGCTCATCGTTAATGTCTGCGCCCAAACGGAGCATTGTTCGGCGTTTTATCCAAATAAACCCCCCCCAGTTTCTCCCTCTTTCTGTTGGCCCCGCGTTTTTCCCCAACGCCAAGAGTCTCTCCTTTGGTGGTTCCTGGAGAAACAGCTTTACAATGACGCCTAATGACAGCGCAGCCGAATTGCAAGGAGATTGATTTTTAATGTAGCACAGCACGAGACACGGGAGCCGAAGCGCCCCTTCCCCAGCGCAGCCGCCTGCGGGAAGATGAGGCGAAGTTTCCATAATGCGGCCATTGGGGATGTTTTCCCGGACACCGCCGGGGCAGCGGCATGAGCCGGAGCTGGGGATCGCGGAGGGGCTGAGGGGAGACCGCCTGAGGGGAGCCGGGCTGAGGGGAGTCAGTGGATCTGAGGGGAGCCGACGGGCCTGGGGGAACCCGCCTGAAGGGAGCCCCAGCCGGCGGCGGTGAGGGGGGAGCCGGTGGATCTTGGGGGCTCCGGGCTAAGGGGAGCCCGGCTGAGGGGAGCCCGAGGCGGCGGATCTGAAGGGAGCCACTGGATCTGAGGGGGGAGCCGGCGGCTCTGAGAGGGGAGCCGAGAGCCGTCGCCCCAGCTGGCGGCGGGCGGGGCAGCGGCCGGGGCGGGGGTGCCCCGCCCCTGTATTATTTTGGGGGGTTTTTTGTTCCCTGCTCTCTTCCCTCTTTCTTCTCCCCCCTCCCCCCAAAAGAAAAAATTAATTGTAATAAGAGCGGGCAGGGAGCTGCGCGTCGCGGGCATGCCCGCCCCCCGGCCTAGGGAGTCCCCGGAGGGGAGCGGGGGCTGCCCGCCCGCCGGGCGCGGGGCTCCTCCGCCCGCCCTCCCCCGCCTGCCTCCCGCCTAACCCGCGCTCGCTCCCCCCCTTCCCCCGCCGTGGCAAAGCTGGAGCCGCAGGAGATCCGCCGGGCACAGGGAGGGGACAGAGATGGGTTGTTTTCTCACACCCCCCCCGCCCCGAGACCTGAGGAGATGCAGCCCAAGTTCGCCGCGATGACTCTGCTGCTGGCACCGGGGATTCTCCGCGGCATCCCAGCCTCCGGACCGCCTGAATCCTGCTCCCTCTGAATCCTCGGCGCCGGGTTAAAGCTTAATTCTCATGTTGTGGTTGCTGGGCTGCCGCGCTCCCCTGTCTTGCGATGGGAGGTGGAGGAAAAGGGATTGTCCGTGAGTCAACACCGAAAACGTGATTAGGAGGAACTGCTTTCACTAATCTGTTTCTAACCTTTCAGTCCTTGTTGGCCTGTGACCCCTCTCAGCTTTCAGATCGAGCCTGATTAGGTAAGTGTGAATTATTCACTTGGGGTGAGGGAAGGCGGAAGGAAATGTTTTACTCAGATTTACCCACGATTATGACCTCTCTAATGAGGAGAAATGATGAGAAAGTTCAAGCTGTAAACTAATTCTGAGCTGAGCAGCATTTGTTTACTTGTTGAAATCTGTCCGTGCAAGACGTCTGCAGTCTGTCTGATTTCCAAGATCGCTTGTGAGTTGCTATGGGACATCTCGGCTGCTGAAGCAAAATACAGTGGTCTTATTTATGATCTGTGGAGAACTTTTACATATATATATATATCTATATATATATGTTTTGGAGAGCTTCTTCATCAAACTCGAACAAATTCTCTTGATTGTTTCACATTTCCTCAGATATGAATTACTTCATTTGCTTGATTTTTTTTCCCCCCTTAAAATGCCCACAGATCTGCAATGTTGCAACCTACCTGTAGCATTTAGGTGGGGAGATTCTCTGCTCTGTAGATATGTAAAGCAGCCGTATCTGCAGGAATCACTTGATTTCCAAACAGCATGTTACAATAGATATTGCTGATAGGAGTAACAACGGGGTGCATAGTCCTTGTGATGGAAACGCAGCTAGTACTTCAATTAAGAAGATATCTTTTTGAATTTGATAAAGCTTGTGTAATATCCGGTGTCTCCCTCTGTTGTGGCTTTGGAAAAACTGCTTTGTCAACAGGATCCCTTAGCTGCTTGTCTAGGATTAAAGCTTTCTTCTCCTGCTGCTGCTTTTTTGCATCAATTAAGGGAGAATTAATTGCTGAACATCTGCAGTCCACCAAAAATCCCAGTACATAGAGAATATCTCTCAGAGGGGTGGGAGGGAGTCCGTGTTTGCCTGTGTGTGCAGGTTAATGCATGTTTGTGGATCCTGTGTGTGGCTGTGTGTGCATGCTCTGGGAACGGAGGAGGAGAAGGGATGACACGCACGTCCCAACAGTTCTTCTTTTGGTTTGTGCCAGGATCTACCTCCGTAGTTCCTCAATCCAGATGAAGCTAATATTTCATTTCATTTAAAAGTTTCCTTTAAGACTTTGCCCAGTTCTCTTAAGAGAGGTCAGAAACCAGTTTGCTGCCGGGGTTGCACTGCCCGTGGGCTGGTGTGGAGGCAGGTTAGTGGCGGGGATTTGGACAGTGCGTTGGTGGCAGTGATGTGGCACTGTAGGAAGCCAGAAGTGCTCCCAAGACACCGGCACGGAGCCTTCGCCTGGCGCCGGCGCTCCCGGGGGTCAGCGCAAAGCTCTTCTCCCTCCCTGGGTCGATCCTTCGCTCGACCGTCTCGGCAGAGCTCGCCGGAGGTCGGGCCGTGCTGCATCGCTCCCAAAGTTTGAGAAGGGCTCGGCTTAATCACGCAAACACACTTCAGCTGCTCTGTGCCTTATGAAGGCATTTAACGTCCTGTCTCCGCGTTTCTCTCTGGGAATTACTGAAATGCTGAATAATGGAGGAGGTGAACTGTGGTTTTGCTTCTGTTGGGATTATAGGTACCTGCTGCAGGCTGGGCTGTGTTGGTAGCCCAGGTAGTCCCTCTTCAGAAATGCTGTATATAAAATTCTATACTCTCCCACCTCTCACAGCCCAAGTATAACCCAGCACTGTCTTTCTTATCGGATGCAGATCTGACAGCAGATCAGCTTAACTCCTTTTTCAGCTCAGGTTTCCCACCCCAGTTTAATGAAGTGGGCTGTTCACCCTGTGTAGCACCAAGGGACAGTGGCCATGGCAGGAGGTTTAGACTGTGCTTAAACTTGGGTTCAAAACCCTCCAAGCTGCCCATCACCATGTGATTTCAGGCAGCTGATTTAATTTCTGGTGCATCTGGAAACTCAACTGGACAAATGAGGAGAGTCAAAATTAGATGATTCTGTGAGCCACCATTTCTTCAAAGATACTTTGTGGGCATATGCTTCCAGGCATGAGTGTCCAAGTTATGTATGTCACATGCTTTGTTCTCTGTAAAAATAACTGAGAAGAGGCTTAATTCAAATGAAACAGTAATATTTATCTATGCAGTTTGAGAACTCTGATTTATTCTTAGGTGATGGTTGAACCTATGACATTTATAAGCCAATATTCCTTGAACTTTGGGTTTATTCTCACTTAAAAATACTTGTTTTCAGACCACAAGACTGGTGTCCCTATGGAAGCCACTGTTTGTATCTGGCATTGAGATCCCATGGAGAAGCTGAGGAGGGGGATGGCTCTTCATATCCATGAAGCCTGGATACTTCTGTTTGTAATCCCTGGTTTGGTCACTTCAGCTGCCATCAATCATGAAGACTATCCTGCTGATGAAGGGGACCAGACCTCCAGTAATGACAATCTGATCTTTGATGACTACCGGGGGAAGGGCTGTGTGGATGACAGTGGCTTTGTGTACAAACTGGGAGAACGTTTTTTCCCGGGACATTCCAACTGTCCCTGTGTCTGTACTGAGGATGGACCTGTTTGTGATCAACCAGAATGCCCTAAAATCCACCCAAAGTGTACAAAAGTGGAACACAATGGATGCTGTCCGGAATGCAAAGAAGTGAAAAACTTTTGTGAATATCATGGGAAAAATTACAAAATCTTGGAGGAATTTAAGGTATGAAATCCTTTCTTCAGTATTTAATATTAGTATGCTTTAGGAATTGTATTTTTGCTGGGAACTCTTAAAGGCACTCAGTATTTGCTTACTGCTGTTGATGGATGCTGAAGCTGAAGTAATTTTTAGCTGTGGTGCAGGTCTGGCTCATGTAAAAGCTGCAAAGGCTCCCCCTTACCAGCATTCACTGAGGGCCAGTGGTCAGTCAAAAGCCCCCCTTGTAAATGCCAGCCCTCTGGATCTGCCTCCTTTGCTCATATCATGGATCATGTTGGACCACCAGTGGTGTGTAAACCAATGCTGAGTGCTTTTTAAGAACCCCTTCTCCAATTTGGATAGCAAAAAATTGATGGTGCAGTACTGAGAGTTGTTACTCATAACTCTATGAGAATGCAAACAAGCAGATGTTTAACTATATTTAATATTTTTATTTGAACTGTGATAAGGCTGTCTAGAATGGAGAAGATAAATTCCTAGGCAGATGACCATCTCAAGTAATAAGAAGTATGGGGTTTCATTGTAATGGTTGAGTTCCTGTTAGGAATGTTGTAAAGAAATCCTTCTAAAATATATCTTGAAAATAAGACCAGATTCTAAAAAACCATTATCCTTTTACACAACCTGCCTCTCTCATTCTGTTGAGTTCGATCACATGTTTTCAGTTCTGCTAAGGAGAACAGCATTTCACAATGAAGAATGGTGTCTGTAAAAGCTGTAGGGACACAAGTTTGTTCTCCTGGGTCACGTGGCTTTAAGAGTTGTACCTCCATAATTAATGACAGCCTATAGCTCTTCATGGCTGTGTGCCCAATCTCATTATGCACTTGGGCAGTTTATTTGCTTTCCTGCTATGAAAATAATTTTGTATTGGTCTGCACTTCACAAGTTCTTGGTAACATAGATGACAATTTCCTTTTTTCCAGAAGCTGTGGTTTTCAGTGAAGGTAGTAGTTAGTTCCTCTCTTCTATCACATGTGGTTTATGTTCATCTTTTTCTGTCCATCTGTAACTGCAGTCCC